TAAACGGTTATAAAATGTAATTCAATTTATTTTTTTAACAAATAGGATGGCTAAAAAAAGTTACAAAAAACAGCTAGATTCTAAGGCAAATGTATAAAACTAAAAACAGGAACATGTCTGCATTGGTCCCTGCCAGGAGTCCAACAGATTCTTAAAATAACCTTGACTCAGGAATCCTGGCCAACTATAGACCTATATCTAATCTAACTTTCATCTCAAAACTTCTAGAGAAACTAGTTGCAGGTCAGTTGTGTGAACATCTACAAAGAAATAATCTGAAGAGTTTCAGTCAGGGTTTAGAGCTCATCATAGCACAGAAACAGCACTAGTAAAAGTCACTAATGATATTCTCATGGCCTCAGACAATGGACTTGTGTCTCTACTGGTCCTGTTAGACCTCAGTGCTGCATTTGATACAGTTGATCACAATATTTTACTGCAGAGGCTTGAATATGATGTTGGGATTACAGGAACAGCTCTAAAATGGTTTAAATCATATCTATCTGATAGATTCCAGTTTGTAAATGTAAATAATGAATCTTCTTCATTCACCAAAGTTAGTCATTTATGCTGATGACACACAATTATATTTGTCCATTAAACCCAATGAATCCAATCAGCTACTTAGACTACAAGCATGTCTTAAAGACATAAAAACCTGGATGAACCTTAATTTTCTCCTGTTGAACAAACAAGACTGAGGTTTTGGTTTTTGGACCTGAGCACCTTAGGAATGAATGTTTCAGTCTTTCTCCCTCCTTAGATGCATTAATCTGTCCTCCAGCTCTAATGTTAAAAATCTTGGTGTTATTTTTGATCAGGACATGTCTTTTATCCCCCACATTAAAAACGTTACTAGAACCTCCTTCTTCCACCTGCGTAATATCACTAACATTAGAAACATCTGATCTAAAGATGATGCAGAAAAACTGGTCTAAACCCTAAATAAAAACCTAACAGATTCTGGAAAACCATCAAGTCTCTCTCATCTGACCTCCCATCACAACTTCTCGTTAACTCTGTTCCTGTGTCAAATCAGCACGAGATCCTGAATTGTTTCAACAAACATTTTGTTGCTTCTGGTTCTTTATTTGACAGAGTTACTAATGGAAGATCAGCCACTTCACTTAATAACCAAACTTCTACAAATCAAATCCCTCCTACAAGTCAATCCTCAGTTAATCACACCTTCTCTTTTTCTCCATTCTCAGTCAGTGAGGTCAATAAACTGTTAAAAGATCTTGATCCTAAAAAATCTGCAGGTCCAGATGAACTTCCACCTTATTTCTTAAGGCTGGCTGCTCATATCATCACAGTCCCTGTGACCCACATCTTCAATCTCTCCATGAGACAAAACTCCATCCAGACACTTGAAAACAGCCTTTGTTCTTCCTTTGCTGAAGGGAGGTGACCCCCCCTCACTGAACAACTATGGACCAATCTCTAAACTCTGCATTTTAGCCAAGGTTCTAGAAAAACTGATAAACTCTCAAATCAAAAATGACCTGGACTCATTTAACATCTTACCTCCACATCAATCTGGTTTCAGGAAACAACACAGCACAACCACTGCTTCACTGAAGGTTCTTAATGATGTTGTTGAAGCACTGGATGCTAAGGATTATTGTGCTGCACTTTTCTTAGACCTGTCTAAAGATTCTGACACTGTGGATCAGAACATCTTGTGTCATAAACTCTCAGAAATCGGTTTCTCAGATCACACCATTGGAGACAATGTTTTCAACATAATGGTACTTCCTGCAGTTATTTAACAGTCAACAATGGTGTACCACAAGGCTCAGTCTTAGGACCCACCCTCTTTACAATAAACATAAGTAATGTAGGTCAGAGCATCCCTAATGCATCCATACATTTCTATGCTGACGACACAGTTGTTTATTGTCGAGCTAAAACAGTTGCTAAGGCTTTCCAGCTTTTGAAATCTGCATTCAACTACATCCAGACTGATTTGTTTCACCTCAAACTTGTCCTAAACTCAGATAAAACCAAAGGGATGTTTTTTTCAAATAGGAAGTTGGTCCCAGCAGTTCTTCCTTCGATTTATCCTCAAATGGTGTCCCCATTGAGTTTGTTGATTCCTATAAATATTTGAGTATCTTGGTCGACTCACATCTCTCTTTTAAGCTCCATGTGGAAAACTTGGTAAAGAAACTGAAAGTTAAACTGGGTTTCTTTTTCAGAAACAGATCCTGTCTAACTCTGAATGTTAGGAACACCTTGTATCTGTGACTTTCCTTCCCTCCATTGATTAAGGTGACATTATTTACATGAACGCTCCTACAAGAACCCTGCAGATGTTGGATGCTGCAGATGTTGGATGCTGCAGATGTTGGATGCTGCAGATGTTGGATGCTGCAGATGTTGGATGCTGCAGATGTTGGATGCTGTCTATCATGGTGCACTAAGATTCATAACTGGCTGTAACTACCGTACCCACCACTGCACCCAGTATTCACTGGTTAACTGGTCACCATTAACTCCACACAGACTCTCCCACTGGTACATTTCCATCTTTAAATCACTTCCTGGTCTGCTGCCTTCATACATCTCCTCCTTCATGTCTCTGTGTGAGTGCAGCTACAGCGTGCGCTCTCAGGACATCATTACCTGCAGTGTTCCCTCAGTGCGGACTGAACTAGACAAAAGGACCTTCTCCTGCTCCGCTCCTGTTTCCTGGAATATCTTGTAAAAACATCTGAAGCTCTCGACCTTTGACCTTTCTAAGTGGCTTTAAGAATCTGTTGGACTCCTGGCAGGGACCGATGCAGACATGTTCCTGTTTTTAGTTTTCTACATTCGCATTAGAATCTAACTGTTTTTGTTTTTTTTTGTTTGTTTTGTTACCTTTTCCTTTTAGCCATCCTATTTGTAAAAAAAAAAAAAAAAACCTGCAGTATGACTTTTTATAACTGTTTATTGTTGTTGCTGTTGTCCATTGTTGTCATCTTTCTTTGTTAAATCAGGTCTCTCTTGTAAATGAGTCCTCAAGGCTCAATGGGATTTACCTGTAGAAATAAAGGTTGAATGAAACTGGTCCATGCATTTGTCACGTCTAGACTGGTCAATTGCAATGGTTTATTATCTGGGTGTCCAAATACTTCTTTAAAATCCATTCGGACCAGAACCTCCCGCCATAAGAACAATTTCTTCCCCTCTGCTGTTGGACTCCTGAACACTCATAATGCTACCTCATAACTTCTGCTTTGGTCACATTACATCTGTTTTATAACTGAATACTCCATCTGTACTGTTCTCTAAGCTTTTTTATTGTTTTCTATTGTATGGGTGTACATATGGTTATGTTTTTTAATTTTACTTTATTTGTGGGTGTACACAGGCTTATGTCTTATGTAATGTTCTCATTTTTACTTAATTTTACTTTATTTTTACTTTATTTTACTTTATTACTATTCGCACCTTATGTCGAAGCAAATTCCTAGTTTGTGAACCTCGTTCATTGACGTGGCGATAATAATAAACTGATTCTGATTCTGATTCTAAAACGTCTTCAGTTGATCCAAGAAGCTGCTGCCAGAGTCTTAACTGGAGTTACTGGGAGAGATCATATCTCTCCAGTTTTAGCTTCTCTCCATTGGCTCCCTGTCAAATCCAGAATAGAATTCTAAATCTTACTTCTAACCTACAAAGCCCTCAACAACCTAGCTCCATCTTATATTACAGATCTTATTGTTCCATATTTTCCTAACAGAGCACTTCACTCTCAGACTGCAGGTTTACTTGTGGTTCCTAGAGTTTCCAAAAACAGAATGGGAGGAAGATCTTTCAGTTCTCAGGCTCCTCTCTTGTGGAACCAACTTCCAGTTTCTGTCCATGAGACTGACACATTGTCCAGTTTAAAACTGGGATTAAGACTTTCCTTCTTGATAAATCCTATAGTTAGGGTCAGCTTGTTATGCTGCTATAGACTTAGACTACTAGAGGACAAACTGACCTCATTTCTTTAAATGAATTGTTAAAATTCAATAGTTTTCATTTGATACTATTTCTATCTTAACATGTGATTCTTGACCTGCCATTGTGTATCTATTCCTACCAAACCCAGCCGGTCGAAGCAGATGGTCCTCTTGTCCTGATCCTGGTTCTGCTAAAGGTTTCTTCCTCATGAGGGAGTTTTTCTTTCCACTGTCGCCTTCATGCTTGTTCAACATGAGAGTTCAGTGATGGAGTTAAACTCAAAGCTGCTCCTCAGATAAATAATGTTCAATTATTATTTTATACATGAATGTTTCTGTTAATTATTATTTTATACATGAATGTTTCTGTTCAATTATTATTTTATAGATGAATGTTTCTGTTAAATTATTATTTTATACATGAATGTTTCTGTTCAATTATTATTTTATA